ACCCAGAAAATACAATGTAAGAGCACAATGCTTTTTTTTTTTTTTTTTTTCTCCTCTTCTCACCACTCAGAATTTTTACTTCTCAGTACTTCTCAGGTCATTCAGCATTGTAAAGGAATTAGCAGAATAGTAAAAAGAAGTTGGGACAGAGGAAAAGAGTTTTAATAAGTGCTCCAGGGCGCATTGATGTAAAATAGCTTAGGCTTTAGAGGAATGAAGATTATTTCTTATCCTCCTTTTTTCGTCCAGCCATTTGATATCCACACAGACAAATGCCTGAAAGTGATGTTTCCTCACCTAGTTCCATTTGTATTTGCTTGTGAATCTGATTCAGGTGTCTTCATTTGATATGTATCACTATGCTTAGAAGGCCAGAATACCGAAACCATGTTGAAGTTAGAGATACTGTCAATGCTAAATTAGAAGTCTATTTTTGCTTAACTCTGAAGCAGTAGACAGCAAACTTTGGACATTCCAGGACATGTGAGCTGACTTGCTGATTACATGCCAGCTGCTAAACTCAGATTTGTCATTAAAACCAACAAACTTGGAAAAGAGCTTTGCAGGACAAATTCATGAGATCAGAACATCACTCTGAAAATACGTGCTAGGAAGGTAATGAGCCTCCACTGGGGTGGGGGGGGGGGGGGGTGGGGAATAGACATTTTGCACTTGTGGCTGTAATTTGTGTTTTGAGGGGATTTAAAAATGTAATCTCAAAGCCTAAACATAGCTTGTATTTAGACTAATAACTAGATACTAGCAGCTTATTTTCTCACTGAATTTTGAGTGAGTTTTCTTTACGGGACTCCTGTTTTTCAGAGGTGATGTGCAAAGTTCTTGTGGCCTCAGAAGTAGTTAGATTTTTTTCCCCCTACACACAGTTTCATATTTAATTTTAATGCAGTGAGTTCTTGTGGAGACACCTGTTTACCATCTTGTTGAATTGTAAATGTTCCCTTACGCTTTTGGAATAAATTCATTTTGTAATTTTGTTTGGCTCATTGTTTCACAGTTCCTCTGCAACATTTTGTGTTGGCTTAGTAAAAGGGTACTGTGGTACTACTTTGTTTTAGTGACTTACTCCTTGGGTTGCTATAGATGTATTGAGCTGTTTGCCACTAAGGAAACTTAGGAAGACTGCATTAGCTGTCCCAACTTCTAAGAAATTCAACTTCTAAATGCAAAGTTTTGGCTAGGAATTTAAATACTCGGCAAAAGCTGCATGTCATACATCTTATTTGGGAATTGTCATGTGAAAAGGAGTCATTCATTTTCCTAGATGTTGACAAGGAGTCATTCATTGTCCTAGATGCTGACAATGCAATAAAATTTAAGATGATAGAGCAAGAGTGGCTTGTAGTAGCAGCCTGGGTTTTTTGGTGAAACCTGTGATAAGCCTGACATGAAAACTCTGGCAGCAGTAAGGAACTGTCATACTTGTGGTACTGTATTCTCTGTCCCAAGAGAAACTGAATCCCCTGCATTAGTTTAACCGTAATAACACCATCTGTAAACATTTTTTTCTTGTTTCTACTTAGTAGGTTTGAGTTACAGGCAAATTTTATTGCTTAACGGGCTCTGGGAAGTCAGGCATCCCCAAGGAAGCAGAACTGCTTGCAGTTCACTTGCTTGTGAACTTAGAAAGGTCAAACAGGCCAAAGTTTGAATTTGGCAGCTTTTATATCTCGCTCAGGACTGGGGAGACAGGCTGCCGCTGCTGGGTTGGTATTTACCATTAGCTGGAATAGGAAAGGAAAAGTTTACATTTTTCCGTGTAACTGGAAAGCACTAGAAGGAAAAAGGAGTGATGAGTTTCACAGCTACCTTCGACCGGCTCTTCAGTGAGCCGGCGTGAGCCGTGGGTAGCTGCAGGTACAGCTCGCTTGGATTTGGGCAGCAGGCCCTTTCCTTCAGCTGTCACGGCACGCGTGCGCTAGACAGCAATTAACTTTTCTAAATGAAAGCGTCCAACGCGGTGCCACGCGCTGCTTGTTGGCATTTGAGCTCCGGACAGCGGCTCCGCCGCTACCGGCGCCTGCTTTTGAAGTGCAACACGGCTCAGGCAACCGGACTCGGCCTCCCCTGCTGGGCTGGCTGTGCGTGGGGCCGCCGACGCCC